TAAGAGTGGATAGATATTCTTTCTTTAGGGCTCCTTATCAAAAAGGCTTACACGTATTAGTTTCTCTGACTCAACTCTTCCACAGCCACATTCAATCTCTTGCCAACTATCTCTCTGGATGTCGATGTCGTTTTATTACGAATAAATGGAATTTAGGAATTTGAATTCCTACGACTGAGCTTTACAACACAATCTAGAGTAAGAAGAAAGAGTGATAGTCCTAAATGCCCTGTAGCCTCCTGCTTATAAGTGTGGTGCACGACACACCCGTAAACAAGACTCTACTAGACACAACTTGTAGACTCCCTAGGACAGAACTGCTATGATACCATTTTTTTCACGACCAAACCTATGGGCCGCAACGGACACCCGGTACCTTACTCAACCGAGTACCAACATATATATCTTTCTTATCGTACTCTCATTGGTAAATGGGCCAAACGAGATGTCATGGGCTAACCAGAATAAACATAAAGGAATACTCAATATAGGACAACTCAACCTGATATAAAAACTTATACATGTGACATACGGGCCTATAAGGCCAACATGATCATTTGTAAACCAAACATAGAGAACAAGGCCGTACAAGTATTCGTATACATGACATCTGTCTACAAGCCTCTAAGAGTACATAAGTATCATAAAGGCCGGGACTGAGCCCCGCTATACCAATCAATACATGTCCTAATTATACTGACCAAATAAGCAACTCTGGAGCAAATGGAGTGCACCAACATCTTTCGTTGAGCTGATAGCCTACTTGGAGGACTCTCGACCTGTCTATCGGGACCTGCGGGCATGAAACGCAGCGTCCCCAGGCAAAAAGGACATCAATACAAACAATGTACCGAGTATGTAACGATTGAAAATCAGTAAATAATAGACATGAGAGAAACATGGAGTAAAAGACTCGGCATGTAAGTCTGAATAACTCTGTAAATCATGAAATACTCATAGTGTCATGCATATGCGTATGAATGTCATGTCGTGCATAGGTACGTGCGTTCATAACATCATCAAGCCTCTGAGGGCATCTCATCATATCATCTCGGCCACTGTGGGCAAAATCATCAAGGTATACCAGCTGATCAGGTGGTGGTGCGTATATAACACCTAACCTTTTCCCGTATCCCATATATAACACTGTAACATTGAAAAAAGATTTCTTGAAGTTTTATAAATATGATTTGAGGAAAAGCTTTGGACTTCTATAAATTGAGGATCCTTCCTTCTCATTCAGTAGCATCCACAATATAGTCATAAGGGGTTTGAGAGTCTTGTTTAAGGATAGAACTTTTCGGGACAAGTGATGGTGCGTCAATTGTGTTTGCCCTTTTGTGAGGTTTTCTCTCGATACTTTGTACTCTATTTTATATAGTGGATTGCTCATCTCCATCTGTGGACGTAGGTCAATTGATCGAACCACGTTATATGTTTGTGTCTCTTTTGGTATATTTCTCTTTTGTTGTCTGATTTATCATCGTTCAAGTTTTGTCTGATTTAGCATCCACAAAGAGATTTATAATTTCTTTATACAAGAAGGAAAATCCAATTATGGTAAATATGTTGTCATTTCCTTCAAGAAATAGGAGGACCAAATATGATAAGAAAATCAGGGCAAACACCTAACAGCCAGCATCTTATTTTCCTATCGTTCTAAGCCCGCACCAAGAGAGAGAATGATTTTTTCTGTCAAGTTATTTAAAATAATACTCAAATAATCATTAATAAACAAGAATTCTACTTTAAAAGATGTGAACAATATATTATAATCATTAAGTTGTATTAATAATATAAACTTTTAGTTCCATTTAAATATGTTCTTTCTTATTGGCTAATGTCACCTCCTTTTCCGAACTTTTAAATAGGGGTGTTCATAAAAACCCGAAAATCGAACCAAATCGAAAATCGAACCAAACCGATTTAAAAAACCGATACTTTTAAGATTTGGTTTGGTTTTGATTTTGAATTTTAAAAACCGATCAAAATTGGTTTGGTTTTGATTTTAATAAAAAAATAATCGAAAAAACCCGAACCAAACCGACTATAAAAGTAGCTATTTAAATTTTTTATTACACCTATATATATGTGTATTTTTATATAAAGTTTCTAAAATTTTATGGTACATATTAGTCATTTATATTTTTAGTCTAGTTCTTTGCTATTATAATCATCTAATTCTTTGCCTTTACATTCTAGTTTGATTGGTAGTTTTCTTTTGCTAAGTACAATAATTTATTTCATGTTAAAAATAATCAATTTTTAATTGAGTACTTAAATTATTCATGACTATTTGATTCAATTATCATCAATATATCTTGGTAAATAATATATTTCTCAAAGAGCAATTGATTTGATAGTGTTACGTTGAAAATGCAGTCGCCGAAGTATGCGTTTGGTAGTGTATGTCTCATATTTAAGAAAAAAATCGATAAATAACCGAGAAAACCGAAAAAATCGACAAAAACCAAATCGATAAAAAACTGTCTTAATTGGTTTGGTTCTAATATTTGAAAAGTCGACTTACTTGGTTTGATTTCTTTTTGGGGAAAAACAGACCCAAATCGAACCGTGAACATCTCTACTTCTAAAGATAAGAGGTAAAATTAGGAGAACTTCAAAGCTCAAAGTCAGAAGCTGCAAAGAAACAAAGTGTGTGGCTTTGGTTTTGTTTGGTAAAAAGTTACTTGTATCGGGTGTTTTCACTAGGGGTGTTCGTCGGTCGGTACGGTATGGTATTTAGATATTTCAGTTCGGTATTTTCGGTATTCGGTTTCTTAAAATGTTATACCAATACTGTACCTGATTAAATTCGGTATGGTTCGGTTTCGGTTTATTCGGTTCGGTAACTTCGGTTTATTCGATTTGAATACTAACAAGTGCATAGAGTCATAGACTATAATATTCTTAATTGAAGTACTCAAAAGTGCAAAACAGAAAACGTTTGTTGACAAAAGTTTTGTCCAAAATCAGCAAATATTAACCTAGAGAGAGAAAACTGCACATAAAGGAATAAATTCGATCATTAGAAATATCTTCTTACTTGCTTAGAGTTAATTGATGAACTTAGAGAATAAAGGAAAGTAAGATTTCGATTGTTTATATTTATGTTATAATTAATAATATGTGTTTTGTGTAATATAATACTATATATTTCGGTACGGTATCGGTATTTCGGTATTTTATTAAAAATACCAAATACCATACTTAATACCATATTTTTTTAAAACTTAAACCAAATACCATATCGAATACCAAAATATAGAATACCAAATACTAAACTTTTCGGTTTCGATACGGAAATTCGGTAATTACCAAATTATGCACGGCCCTAGTTTACACTATATCAAAAGATGCATCTCATATGTGTATATATAAACTTTTATCATATAATTATGGTTATATAATTTTTATTCTTACTTCATTAAATTACTTAAGCATGATGAATTGATTTAGCGTAAACACTAGAGTAAATATTTACTGTACTATGAGAGACAGAGTTGTAAGTCACTGACACATTTTTTACTTTAGTCTGCAGTATTTGCAGCCTTTTGACCACGTGACCGCTCCTTCACACTTCGATGTCAATTTTGAGTCGTTATTTTGTTGGGTTTTAGGACTTACCGGGCTCTTCGCTACACTAGCTTTTAAGAACTAACGGTCAAATCTTTGGCCCCTCAATTCATGGTAGTACTTTGCAAGCTATTACTTCACGTTTTAGAACGGTAAAAACTTATCCGAGTATTTATACCATTTTAAGTTAAATTAACTATAAAAAGAAATTAATTAAAGTCTATTAGGAGTCCTATTTTAATAAATAAAGAAATCAAAGAAGAAATCAATGGCCGTATGACTATGGAAAAAACTTACCCGCATTCATCTTTTTTCTCATTCTGTATCATATTCTACGCAAAAACTCAACCAAGAATGTAATGGGGAGACAATTTCTTAGGTATTATTCAGTTTGTTATTTGTTAATGTATGCTGAAAAAATTCTCTTAAGCTTTAGTTCAATTAGTAAACCCACGTAGGCTATTATTGTCTTCACAAAAAAAGTCGTTAAAACATAAATTGAAAATTTCTTTTCAATTAAGATTAAGTTTGATAACCTTTTGATGATTACTAATAGTGTAATTATGCAAAGCCAAGTGCAATTGGTGAAATTCTTTCGTATGAGTTTAATCTTTTTGAATATACATGTGTCTGTTGTTTTCACAAACTAAGCCATTTACCTTTTGTGTAGTAATAGTAATAGCATATCGAAATAAAAGGCCACACATATTCACCATTAGTAGACAACAATACCGTCGATGTACTTAACATTTCCGTCTAGAACATAACATGGAATTTTAAGATGTTGGGTATTTTTATATTACTAGTATTTAGTTAAGGTTATATGCAAAATATATGGTACTTAACTACAGTTAAGTACTAACAATTATATTTAAATAAAGTGATGTGTTATTTGTTTACTGGTCAGGTGTAATCACCCGGTGGGGGTAAGTTTTTGTTGGCCCCTAAAACCCAAATCTGGCCTTTGCATAATTAGTTTTTCAGCTGTTGTGCACTTGTTCGTCCACACATGGAAATCACAAGTAAAGTTCTCACCTTTTGTCCTTTTTTTTTCATTGCACAATTACTAGTAAATTGAAAAACATGAATTAGAAAGTCACTGAACTTTATACTTCAAAGAAGCGCCGTTGCAAGACGAAATTAAGATGATATTACCCTATACTATTCCAAAGTTTACACAGCTCAAAACTGGAACATAACATGAAAGTTAGAACAAGGAAGCTTGCACTATAGAAATACATTAATAATACTGGTAACATACGCTCCAAGGCCAACAAAAAATGAAAGCAGCATTAGGGGCAACAAAGAACCCGGGGGGGGGGGGGGGGGGTTTA